ATCCCTCCTTCCCTAATTCCCTTCTGAAGTGCTGGAGCCACTGTCACCTCTCATTTAAAAGAAGCGAATGCCCTTGTTTTAATTTCTAACCAGAGCGAACTGGATAATAACATTAACCCCGGCAGGGGGTGGCAGGAGAAGGCACCTCCTCGCTTCAAATGTTTGGACAAAAAATTTGCTCTCATTAGGGCAGAAGCCCAGGAGATGTCGCCTTTGTGGGGCGGCGACGGGGCTTTGTTGCCTTTGAATGTCTCCTCCGAGAGCGCCCGGGGCTGTAATTGGGGCCGGGCAGCGCTCGGGGGAAGAGAGGCAGAGACAAAAAGAGGGAGGAAAGCTTGAAGTCTCCTCTGTAAAGCCGTATCCTGCTGCAAAACGTGCTCCTGGAGAGCTGGCTCCCTGAAATCGGGAGCGTGGGGATGTTCTCAGTGGGAAAGGCAGGGTCACATCCTGCCTGGGGCTCAGGCTGAGGGGTGGTGCCCTCTGCTCTGGGAGAAGGGTTTGAGGTCACACCAGGAAAGCCTTGTGAGCCACCAAGGGGGGAAGAGACTAATTCAGCTGAAAAGTTCGGAGCTGGAAGGGGAGACCCACAGGAGAGACCCAGAGGTGTCCATGGGTCCTTCCTACCAAGAATTGGGAAGAAAAGGGGAGGACAAAACAGCGCCTAAGCCGACCACACTATGTTCCTATTTCTGCTTGGACAAATAAACATTATTCCCATCCTTTTCAGGAGGCTTCCCGCATTTCCCTCTGGGTTCCTCCCTAGTATGCAGCTGACAAAGATGCTGCAAAGCCAGGCAGGAACAGGGCTCTGATGCTGAGGGATTCTCAGGGACACCAAGAGGAGAGAAAATGCTTCTTTTTCCAAAGCAGCAGATGGTTTTTTCCCCCCGGGGAAGGAGCTTAACTTGCAATTTACCTGCTGCCAAGTTCAGGGATCACAGCATCTCTCTGAAGTCACAGCAAGGTCCGGATCAGGACTGTGCAAAGCTGAAAGTAGGGATGTGATGGGAAACACGGGAGAGCCAACACTCCTAAATGCAGGTTAAGATGGTCTCCAGGTAGTGCACAGGGTGTGGAGAACTCATAACAAGGGTTGACTTAGAGAAACTGTGGCTGCTCCATCCCTGGAAGTGTCCAAGGCCAGGTTGGACAGGGCTTGGAGCAACCTGGGATAGTGGAAGTTGTTCCTGCCCATGGCAGGGGGTGGAACAAGATGACCCAAACAATTCTGGAATTTTATGACTGGCTAAACTTTGCCCACTAACTGATCCCATGAACAAAACATGTTTTACACAGACACCACTGCTAAAGGCAGCATCCCAAATCTCCCTCCTGCTTCTGCCATACTCTGAAAAGGAGCACCAAGGAGCAAGAGCTGGTGTGAAAGGAGCAAAGAACAGGCACAAACCTGCCAAAATCGAGGACAAAGTGATGGCAACACCAACCAACAGAGAAAAAACAGTCACCACACACTTTTCCTCCACCAGGACGCACATTGTCAGCCAAAGAGATGTAAGTTTGGTTCAGCCTCAGTTAAGGGGGGGGAGAATTAAAAGAAAGTGTTCAATTTATTCCTCATTTATAGCCAAGTAGCCAGTATATTGCTTCTCTCGTTCCCCAAATCACCCACTGTCAGTATGTTTAGAAACAAGTTGGAAATTAATGTCCTTGCTGCGTGTGGCTGTCAGAAGAGACAAGGGATTTCTTTGGAGGGTCACTTTTTCATTAGTGTGTTTTAATTACTGCTGGGTGAAACCATGGAGCTGCCCTGGATATGCACCTTTTTGGAAGCTGTTGAGTCAGATCCATCTAAGCACAGCACTGATGAAGATTTGGGAATGGGCAGGATCCCACCCATCACTGCAGTGGCAACACAGCTCAGACTGGAAAACTGGCAGTGGGACTGGTGCCTTGGAAAAGGACAAAACCCCCAGATTTCACCTTGGAAAAGGACAAAAAAAAAAAAGTAGAAATACATTAATTCACCTGAGCTTTTGGAGACCTCCTCATGTTAGCTCCTCCAAGGAGAGAAACTTCCAGAAGGTGGGACACCTTATCCTGCTCCAGATACCTAAACCCTCAGAGCTCATCTCACAAAACTCCGCCCAAGTTTTAGGTCCAAGGACCTTCTGTACCAAGGTCAGTGCTGCTGTGATTGTGAGACTGGGAGAGGTATCTGCAGTCAGGCACTGGAGAGGATATTCCATCAATATCTTGGTTATTAAAAGCTTCTTCTCCACGTAAAGAAATAAAAAGGTGCCATTCTATAAGGTTATTTCTTTGGTTTCAGTATAACTTGGGAGAAAAAAAAAAAAGAAGTTAATCATGTTCCCAATATTCCCTTTCAGCTCAAACTAGTTTTTAATGTTACTACATACAAAAAGACAGGTTAGTCAGTCACTCTTGAGTCTTCCCAAGAACTACAGAGATTCCCCCCCAGGTAAAACCAGGCACTTCGAAAACACAGAAGAAACACATGTTTTAACCCTCAGAAAAAGGAGAAAATCCAACCACAACCCCCCGCAGATCTATCGAGGGCGACTTGATGGGACAAACCCTGACTGTGATGGGACAAAGCACGGCTGTCACGTCGTTCTCAGGGAGCTTCTCCTGACATCAGGATCAAGGAGAGCCCGAGGAAACTGGACACGACCTTCCCTCAACCCTGAGCTTTCTCCCCTCGCCCATCCCCGCTCCCAGTTTGACAGCAAATAAAGAGAAAATCGAGCACTGGCGAACAGGGAGTGCAACGTGGGTGCTGCAGCACCTTGGCGGGGTGATCGGACTGGGAAAGGGCAAAATTCAACCGGGAAATGGTAAAATTCAACCGGGAAAGGGCAAAATTCAACTGGGAAATGGTAAAATTCAGCTGGGAAAGGGTAAAATTCAACCGGGAAAGGGCAAAATTCAACCGGGAAAGGGCAAAATTCAACTGGGAAATGGTAAAATTCAGCCGGGAAAGGGCAAAGTTCAACTGGGAAAGGGCAAAGTTCAACTGGGAAAGGGCAAAATTCAACTGGGAAATGGTAAAATTCAGCTGGGAAAGGGCAAAATTCAGCTGGGAAAGGGCAAAATTCAGCTGGGAAAGGGCAAAATTCAACCGGGAAAGGGCAAAATTCAACCGGGAAAGGGCAAAATTCAACTGGGAAAGGGTAAAATTCAGCTGGGAAAGGGCAAAATTCAACTGGGAAAGGGCAAAATTCAACTGGGAAATGGTAAAATTCAACCGGGAAATGGTAAAATTCAGCCGGGAAAGGGCAAAGTTCAACTGGGAAAGGGCAAAGTTCAGCTGGGAAAGGGCAAAATTCAGCTGGGAAAGGGCAAAATTCAGCTGGGAAAGGGTAAAATTCAGCTGGGAAAGGGCAAAATTCAACCGGGAAAGGGTAAAATTCAACTGGGAAAGGGCAAAATTCAACTGGGAAAGGGCAAAATTCAACTGGGAAAGGGAAGGGCAAAATTCAAGGGCAACCGGGAAATGTAAAATTCTGGGAAAGGCAAAGCAACTGGAATTCAACTGGGAATGGTAAATTCAAAATTCAAAAGGGCAAAATTCGGGCTTCAACGGGAAAAATTCGGGTAAAATTCGGGGGCAAATTCACTGGGAAAGGGTTCAAAATAAAATCGACTGGGAAAGGGGAAAGGGTAAAATTCAACTGGGAAAGGGTAAAATTCAGCTGGGAAAGGGCAAAATTCAACCGGGAAAGGGCAAAATTCAAACGGGAAAGGGTAAAATTCGACTGGGAAAGGGTAAAATTCGACCGGGAAAGGGCAAAATTCGACCAGGAAATGGAAAATTAAACCGGAAAATGGCAAAATTCAACCAGGAAATGGCAATGCTTTGAAGGAACAAGCCGAACTGCAAGCAAGGACCCGCTGCAGTGCATAAACACCCCGTTTTTTTGGGTACTGTACCTCCAAGTGGGTTTAATGGAGAGGTGACTTCCCCCAGTCCCTCTCACAGTCCATCAAGGCCATCACAGGATTTGTTTGGTCCTGGAGGAGCTGTGGGAAGCACCAAGTTGGCCCCTTGGCTTCCCCTTCAGCTCTCCCTCCCAAGCTCTCTCCCTCCAGCTTGGCTTCCTTGACAGCGAAATGAGGAGAACGGGTGATTTGGCCTTTCTTTCCGAGGGATTGAGATAATTTGATTTAAAAAAATTACCAAGAAAAAAAAAAAAAAAAGAGCATTTTTAGGAGTTCCAAGTGGAACTAGAAAACCACGGATCAAAAGAGTTGGTCAGTTGTCCTTCCAAACCCACATTTGGATTAAATCAGAACATTTTTCAAGAACTTGTTGATTTCTATGAAATTTTTGAAGAGGGACAAAGCACTTGCCTCAGCTTTCCAGAGGCAGTGCTGGAATATTTAGTTTCATTTTGGATATTATTTTGTTGGAGCACGAATTTCATTTCAGGCATTATTCTGTTGGAGCGTTTTCTTTAAAATATATTAATATATATCACGACACATCATGATATATTAAATGCCACAATGCATTTTTATGATGTTAAATTTCAAATATGTATACAAAAGGCCAAACAAAATATTTTCTCATATTAAAATGTCGTGGTTTTATTGAAACAAATGATTTAAAAAAAAAATAAATCCCGCAATCAGGAAGCATTTCAGACTTCCTACACACTTATTGCTTTTGTCCAGTTTTACTGCATGAAAAATGCTGGTTTCTAATTGCTTTGCAGAATGGGGAAATTTCATTTTGCTGTTTTCAAACTCAAAATTGCAGTTCTCCATCAGCTCTCAAGGCACTGGAATTCCTCAGGCTGTATTTTTCCCACGGAATGAAAGGAGGAGGAAAAGACACCCGTTCCCACCAACATTTTTGAGTCATCAGTTAAACCAGATGAGGCAGCTGAAAAGATTTCACTTCTGGCAAACCGAGAAAACTAAGCCAGTGACAAATATTTTTGCCTAAAAAGCCAAAAAATCTGCCAACACACATCGGATCCCATGGAACATCCAAGGCTTTTTACCTTTCTGGGATGGTGGACAGCACATCTCGGTCCTCAATCAGGGATGAATCTAACAGGCAACTCCTGTCGTTACTGTGGGAAGTAAAAAGAGTAAAAGTTTTCTTTTTGGAACATTTTTCTTAAGCTTGGGAAAAATCAGAAGGGGAAGAAGAGGAAAGAAATACCCTTGTGCTGTAGTTTCTCGGCACCTTCTTCTGTTAAGGACCTTTTCTGTGGGGAGCAGAAGGCAGGTGAGAGTCCTCAGGGCATCACAGATGGATGGAACTGTCTGCCCAGCTGCAGAAATCCTGCCTGGGGGCTTGGAGAGTGTGGATTTACAGCTTGTACATGGGGGAAAAACACGTTTTAACATCATACTTTTGGTGGTGAAAGCCCTCCCACAAACCTCTGGCTGCCAGATCCTGGTGCTGGTTTCAATCCCTTATCTAATGCAAATGAAGCTGAGAGAAGAGATTGAAAAAAAAAAACAGTCATGTAACAACTGTTCCCTTGTCCTAGAGAGTGGTCTGCTCGTGGATAAGGTTTCACAGAAGTGAGAGGCAAACTGTGCCCTAAACATCCCCAAAACGCACAGAATTTCTTCAGAATAGAGAAAATATCAGCTCAGAAAGAACCTTGGGAGGTCTCTAGTTCAACCCACTGCTCAAGCAAGGCCTACACTGAATTCAAACTGGGTCACTCAGGGCTTTGTCCAGTTGGTCCTTGAACATCTCCAAGGATGGAGATCCCACGACCTCCCTGGAGCCTCTACCCAGCCAAAAAATACAAAAAGCCTTGTTCATTTTCCCCTCATTATCACATTAGTAGATGGGCTTCCTTCATGACTAATATTTGTGTGTGTGTGTGCTCTTTGGTCTGGTTGGGATTGCCAGATCCCAGGATCACCAAGTCCTCCCTGACACCACTTTCTACATCTCTTCCCACCAAGCAGGACTAATGTTGGCATCACCACTCTGCTTCTGTTTCTCATCACACCTCTCTTGTTCTCTGGGACAGACCTCTGGTGCTCATCCAGCACCAAGAACCTCCAGAAATTGTGACATCCTAATGCTATTGTTAAAAAGAAAAATCACATATATACATAAAGACATGCATAAAAGGTGAGATAGTCATATCCCTGTGCTTTCAGGCAAGTCCCCTAATTGTTGTTCCTGATCTTCTCTGGAAAAATTCTTGCTACTACCTGGAAAAGGAGACCAAGCTGGTGCAGTGAGTGGAGATTAGGAGGAGAACCAGGGAAAGATCCAGTGCCAGCTTCTCAGCCACTCCATTCTGAGATTCCACATGTCTCTCAGCCTCCACTGCCCAGTTAAGTTGAGCCTAGTTAAAACAGGAGAGATATTATCAGCCCAAACAAGCTGTTCTATGTTAAATGCAAGGAACAGAAAAAGAATCACTGTATGATCAAAATATCCTGAGTTGGAAGGGACTCCCTGTGACCATCAAAGTCCAGCTCACTCAATAGGAAGCTTTCTTTATTGAGTGAGTTTAAAGTGGAGACCTCTTCCATGTTTCCAAGGACATGAAACAAGGACAAGCAGCCCCAGGTGACGAGCTGGGTGTGAGCAGAGTGCAGGTGAACCCCTCGCACCACCAAGGAAAAGCTGCTTCTCCCAGAGTCCTGGCTGCAGGAATAGCAGCATCCAGGGCCAGGCTGTCAGCAACACGTGTGGGGGGTGGGTGAGTGGGTGTTTACAGTGGATATAAATGATCCTCACAGTTTTGGGCTGGAGGCTGGATTGCCTGACAGTCCCACCATACCCACGGCTCGGGCGCACACGCTCCTGAATGTTTTCATTATTTTTTCATTTGTAATTTTATTTCATAATGGTAACAAGACACCCCGGGGCAATGTGTTTCCAGGGGATTATTGCTTTTTTTTTTTTTTGCTTTATGACACATGCCATAATCACCCAGAAACGTACAGCCTGTCACATCTCATTACTGAAGCGTGGCTGAGACATCCACGTACGAGGCGCGACGGATAGAGCGGGGCCATAAAATTATATGGACATTTGGTGGCAGAAGTTAGTCTGTGCAAGCAGTTCCCTGAGAATGGCTTGCAGCTGGGCTAGCTCAGCTTGGAGCCATCCTCAGCTTCAGAGCTCTTACAAGTGTTGTTTTTGCTCCTACTCTGCCCACAGAGCCGTTGCAGAGGGTGCACGAACTAATTTTGTGGTCTCGTGCTCCTCTGCTTCCCCCCTTCAGCTTGGCAAGGTTCACCCCACCTGCAGACACTGTCAAGAAACACCTTCCAGGCGAGCTCAGCCCTGGGGTGACTCACAAGAGTCCCCTGAGGACTTGCAAAAAGCAAGTCCCAAGTCAGGCTCCTTCTACCTTTTACTACCCACTGCCTATAAATAACCACTCACAAGATTTCCTGGAGACCCGGGATGGGCATGGGGGAAAAGGAGAGAGCACAGAACTTGGGGCACAAGCTGCTTTCTTCCAAAGAATGGTGTCATTCTGGATTTATTTTATAGTTTCAGTCAGTCTGGGCACCTGGCACAGGAAGCCAAATGTCTGAAAACAGGGGTCAAGTGTAGACACCCTGGCCTTTGGTGAGCTGCCAGGGGAGAGGAGAGAGGGAGGTGACCCGCAGGTGTGCTCTGCAGGTAATGTTCTCCTTGGCCAACAAGGCTGGGGAGGTGGGCAGGGCCCACATTCAGCACCCCAGGATGCTCTAAGCAGAGCTGCTGCACCACGGCCAAGAAGGTTGGTGCTTACAAGCTCCTCTCAGGTGCTCCCAGGGACTCGAACAGGAGGCCATTCATGGGCATCCAGTGATTCCCAGCAGCTGGACTGGCTCTGGCTCCCAGCACCGCCCTGCCCTCGGCGTGCTGGGAAGTTATGTCACCCCCAGGGCTGAGGCAATGGACAGGCTGGAAGGCCTCCTCTCCACAGAGCTCGAGGCTGAGGTTAGGGCTGGAGAACATCAGCCCTCAGCTCAGCGCAGGGTGAAACCCAAGCGGATGAAGAGAACTTTTGTCCAGCTCCAACACACAAACGCTCCTCAGATCAGGGGTTCCTGACCTACCACCCGGGAGAAGAACCAGGATCAAGCTGAAGACTAACTATGAAGAGACAACAGGTAGAGGGGCCTTCAGTATGAGGGGCCCAAATGCTTTCCTGGTTGGACTTCAGGATCATGGAATCACAGAAAGGCTTGAGTTGAAAGGGATCTTAAAGAAAATATCATTCCAACATGCCTTCATGGGCAGGGACACCTTACACTAGCCCAGGTTGCTCTAATCCCTGTCCAACCTGGCCTTGGGCACTTCCAGGGATGGGGCAGCCACAGCTTCTCTGGGCAACCTGTACCAGGGCCTCCCCACCCTCACAGGGGAGAATTTCTACCCAACATCCAATCTAAATCTCTCCTCTTTCAGTTTAAAACCATTCCCTCTTGTCCTATCACTATCTGCCCATGTAAAAAGTCACTCTCTCACTTTTTTACGATCCCCCTTTAAGTACTGGAAGGCTGCAATAAGTTCTCCCTGGAGCCTTCTCTTCTCCAGACTGAACAACCCCAGCTCTCTCAGCCTGTCCCTGTAGCAGAGATTCTCCATCTCCCTGGGCATCTTTGTGACCTCTGGACCTGCTCCAACAGGTCCACACCTTCCCTATGCTGAGGACTCCAGACCTGGAAACAGTCCTCCAGGTGAGGTTACACAAGGGTAGAATAGAGGGGAAGAATCACCTCCCTCGAGGTGATTCCTGAGGGTCTTTTCCAACCTAAAGGACTCTTAAGATGCTGGTGGATTTAGAGACAGAATAAGCAAGCAGGAGAAACCCCTCACATGTATCTGACTAAAGGAGTTATGAGATGCTGTAGAAGACACTCCTAAGCCTTTTCTGCACAACTACAAGTGCCTTTCTCTGCCTGGGAACACTCACAAAAAGGCTCTGAGAGCTGGACCACCAGGACGAGCCTTGCCCTGAGGTAAATGGAGATTTTTGCCTGGCAGGCTCGTGGCAGCACAAACCTCGCACTGGGCTCTGAATGACAGGTCTGTACTAGCCTGGGTGGCACAACCACCAGCTGGTCTTCCAGCCCAGTCCCTCCTGGAGATCTCCCAGGACCGCAGGAGGCTCAGTCCCTGCTCAGTTAGGCGAGGATGGAGATGGATTTTTTTGTTTGGCTGCAGAGAGCCTGCCCTTAACCACAAAGCCTACAAGAATCCCCGACCCGGCCCTTCAGAAACACAGGCACGGAATAAATTCACAACAAGGCTTTTCATCTCCAGGGAAGTTCATCTTACCTGAGTCCTGGAACAATGTCACAGGGATAGAGCCTTTTTTTTCTCCTGGTGATGGGGTTTGCAGCAGGTTTTTCCATGTTCTGTGCCTTTAAGCTTTTTATAATTCTGCCTCCCTTTCTGAACAGCAACCTTTTTGTTCTCCACTCTGCTGCAACTCACAGATATGTGCACCATGCCCTCTTTCACAGAAAGGTATTTTTTTTAATCCTTCTTGCTGTTCTCCACAATCTAAAGTTAAAAACATTCAGGTTAAAAATACATGGCTGAGGTGGGTTTTTTCCAGGACACCCTCCTCCCCCACTCAGAAACCAAAGGTGTTTTCTCAGTTGAGCAGGATCAGCCTCCTGCAGGTGGAAAAGGCAATTTATGAAGACATAAACTACAATTATGCACAGTCAAATGCTACTCTTGGATAGATGGGGCAAATCCCCTTTGCCCACACCACTCCTGTTATACCTGCTCGCACTCAAGCTTCCTTTTATTCTTCAGAGCAGCTTCACATAAATCTCAGCCATCCCAGTAACTTCTAAAAGTTTTTTTTTCCTCCTTGCCAAGTTTCCTCCTGGCTCTAGGAGGGCAAACAGCAGCCACACAGCCCCTTTTGTGCTCCAGGGCTTGGCTAATGCCCCTCCCCGAGGCTGGTGGGCAGGAGAGGTGCCCTCAGCCACGCTCAGAGGGCTGGCACAGCATCACAGCAGGCTTTGAGCAGCAGCAGCTGCTGGGTGTCCATGGCAGGGGCACCTCCCAGCCCCAAAGGAGGAGGGGGTCTGCAGGGCAGGGCCTTGGGCAGCCTGGGGGGACCTGGAAGCTCCTGTGGGGATGCTGCTTGCAGGTGGGAGCCAGGGAATAGGAGATCAGCCTGGCAGGGGGAAGCTGGGAAAAGCACAGAATACAGCACCAAATGTCACTGAGTTCACAGGGGTGAAAATCAGACCCTACAAACGGGACTTCCTCCCCCTGACCCTCCCTGGGAAGGAAAAATTCAGAAGCAGGCAGAGGGTGTGGACAGGACTCAGCTGGAGATGTCCCTGTCCCAGCTTCTCAGCACATAACCAATTCCTTCACCATCATTCCCTCTGCTCTGCCCGTGGAAGGGGACACCTGAGTGCCCCCTGCATTGCAAAAATCATTTAAGGGCTGCTCTTGTGCTCTGTTCCATTCCTAAAGGGCAGCTCTTGGGCTCAGGCAAGGCTTAGCATGGTGGACAACACAGAGTCCCCTGTGCTGGCAGGGCCTGGGCACATCTGTGGGCTCTTGGGCCAGTGGTTCTGGAGGGTGACAGCCACTGGAGTCTGTCCTGAGCCAGGAAACTCTTCTGGGGGTTCACAGAGTGAGTTGGTGAAATCCTGTAGTCACCCAGGCACAAGTTCAGCTAATGGAGAAAACAAAAAACCTTCAGGTGAAAACAATAAACCCTTTGCAATGGCTTCACTTCCTTCACTTCCACTTGCTCTCCCTCAGCTATTTTTTCTCCCTATTATTGTACTGGTTCTTTTTATTTTTTTTCCCCACATGGTCTTCTGACTTTTCCATTAGACTTTTTCCATCTCCCTTTCTTTTTTGTTTCCTCCTTTTTATGCACTTGTGTTGGTTTTTTTCTGTGCAAGCCACAGCCCACATTTCAATTACACCTTACCTGGCACGTGTGTCTACACTTTGTGGACAGTGTCACAGTCTAGGTTGTGATTTACATGCATTGGTGATGTGCTCCCATTTCTTCTCTCCCTTTTTTTTGGAGAAAAAATAAACTTATATCTAGTTTTTCTTAGTGGCACCTTCATACTAAAAGATTCCACACAGCTTAAAGTCTTATCTAATGTGTTTTCTTTCTCCTATATTAAACAGTGGCCACTGCAAAGGGACACACAGGGACAATGGTCCCAGCAGTGCTGCCCATCCCTGTCCTACATAAGCCAGTGCTGGAGGAGGAGCCCAAGATCAAAAACCTCTCTAGACAAGGCTGACAACACATTTCATCCTCTCCTGCAGCACCTTCTCCCCCTGCCCAGCCCTTTGGGACCACCACAGATCACACCAAGGAGGTGGCAT